TACGTGCAGCATTTAGTTGACTTGGTAATTATGGTGGGTCAGTTGTTGGGCCCCTGGTATTGCAAAAAGGCCCCCTCATATTTGGGGTACCCAAAGAGGGACCATACTTTTGACATATATACAATCAGCTAATATCGACATCTTCCTCCGCAGTACCGTGCCATTTGGAGCGTGACATGTCTGGGAATGGGGATTGAGGTGGCGAAGCGGGAAAGCAACTGAACCATCAGGCACTCCAGGGAGACGTGAGGTTAGCGTAGCACAAAGCAGCCAGCCGACCGCAAAGAACGGTACTGCATTTGTTCTGGCAAGAACCTGAGCGCAGCCAACCCTCTCCAGAAGTACCAGCCAAGCTGTTTGAGAATCTGCAATCACCTGCGGGACTTGGCCGAGATCTGTGCGAAGCAAGGAGAAAAGACCCTGTCGCTTCTCTTCTTCGAGACAGGAAAGCCAACTCCGAAGATTCTTCGCGTTCACCTCTGTGACCATTCGCCCGATAGTAAGGGCTCGAATCCAATCAGGCCCCTCTCCACCCTCATGACTTCCAGGTTTTCCCCAAAGAGCTAGCGAGATTGCCAGGTTCATACCCTAAACTCTCAACCCCATGACGGATGCTATGGGGACTGTTTGGAAACATGAAAGGCGGGGACTTCTGATCATCGAGGGTTTAAGGTCTGAGGCGGGGGGGGGGACAACTCTATTGAGAACGGCAACCAAAAAGTGTCACAGTGACAGTGGTGCTGTTTGCTGACAGCGTTGACATCGTCATAACAACTCCTTCTCTTACTTGGGTACGTATGCAGCACGAGAATATGGCACTGACTCTGCTTCCTGCTATGTCTTACTGGTGTTTAGCAGGAAATAAAGGAATATCATCCCTATATAACACCCATATGATATATTCCCCTTTTCCCTATCCCCTAAACCATATTATTTCCCTCATTCCCTACCAAACCCCCAGTAAGTAGTCTGGTGACCTTTGGTGCCATTAGGGTCTAGGCCCAGGCGGCAGTTTTTTTGGTTCTCACAGCGTCCGTAGGGAGTGAAGATATGTCTGCATATCTATATATACACATGCATTTTTGTTGACTATGTTTATGTAACATGGGGGTAGCCGCAATGGAGACTACATAGGGACTGCAGCAAAAAGGCACTTTTACTTTTTGGATGCACTGAATTAGTTGCAGTATCATGGAGGAAGCCCAAGAACGGACTACACGCTTCACAACCTGCATTAGGGGAATCTACAGAACTAGACCTACAACCCCAGTTGAGTAGCGGGCTTTTGGTGCTTGAAGCAAGTAAGATTATCTTCTGCACATAAAATGCCATACCCAAAGGGAGGATGTAATCTT